GGTCGTGTAAATAATATAAATCTTGTAACTAAGAACGTAAGCGTAAGATCAATCTATACTAATATAAAAAGGAGCAAAGATTTGTTTTTTTGTATGTTTTAATATACCTCACAAACTACTGGGCCGATTTTAAAAATTCTTTCCCCATTCGATAGATAATTTATCTGCGAGTAGCATAGGCTATATTTTTTAATTTTACGCGGGCGAAGTCGCGAGCAATACTAAATAAGACGGCATTAACACAACAGTGGCGGCGTAGGAAGGAATGGCACCCAGCAGGGTTAGACAGTAAAAAACATGAACGAAACGAAAGCGATTATCGTTCGATTGTGATTGGTTGAGACACTGACGTCTGACGTCACGCGTTAAAATCTTAGACAGTGACACGCACGAAGGTTGCTTTCGTCTTTCGTCTGTCGTTTTTCGACTATTTCCTTTAAAATTCCTGGACAGTAACACGAAATGACAAACATAATTGTTTTTAAAGCGACACGATCGTTCGTTTTTGAGGCGATTCTCAAATGTGTCTCGTTTTGCTTCGAGATCAACTGAATCAACTTTAGTTAAATGTCTTTAACTATTATTAAATATTAATTTAATCTTCTAAGGTGAAAAATCTTTAAATGGTATATAAATATAACCTTAGACCCTTTAGATGATAATGAAAAATAAACTTTATTTACGATCATCTTTATTTCAAAATTAACATAAAAAACATAAATCACACAAGTTACAAATAAAAACTATGTAAATGTTAGATGTTTTTGCATTTGAGACTGCTTATCAAAGCTACATTTTCTTTGGACATTGCACGATAAAAACGACGCCTAAACTGTCAGCTTTACCCTTTGGAACAATTTTGCACGACTTGTTATTTACAAATATAAACAAGATGTTTTAGTACAACAGCTTAAATCAAACAGCCGAGTGAAATGTTGTTTTTTTTAAGTGTCTTAGTGGTAAAGGTTAAAGCAAAAAATCTTTATGCCTCATCACTTCTAACTAGAAATAAAATTTGATAGTCAAGCTAGAATTCTTTAATGCATAATTCATCTTCCTCATCAATTCTGCTTCCTTTTTAAATCACAATATAACCTTAAAAAGGTGATGTTAATTATGCATGTGTACGACGCAGATTTATAGTGAGTAGATGTTCATCACTTAATTGTGTCGGGATACGCAAATCGCGTAGACATTTTCATACAATACGTTAAATCTAAGCGCCTTGGAGCCTTTTACATGTGCTCCAAGTTATAAGGTGTAAGAGGAAATAAAATAACTATTGTTAGATTCATAGGTGACAATTACATTGAAGTTTATTATGATAAATCTGTTTAATTTAAAATTCTAGAATTCTTTTCAAATTTAAAATTAAGATGTTACGAAAGATAAACATAACCTTTGCATTTACCATTTCCAGGAAGTATCAGCGAGGAGAAAAACAAAATAATTCCAAATTTAAACAGTTCTTTGAGGACATTTTCAATTTCGAATTCTGTCATGTGATTTCTATATATGAATTAATAAAAAAAAAACTACATCCGAGAGTTTTTTTCTCGTCTCTCATACTTTAAGCCAAAGATAAAATATTAATTCTGTTATCGTACAGTGTCAAATAACATCCATCACCGCGGACAGGCGGGGTCTCGTGGACGTAAATCATGTATTCCGCGCCTAACCTAATTGTTTAAATTGTTTTATAGACGTGTACCCTATTGTTTATTCTCCACTTGCGAGCGTTTTATGTTCTGAGCTTATAGCTTGTAGACGTAGGCGGAGTCTTGTCATTTTTATTGCTGTTTTATATTCCGCCTTGTTATTAATATTATTTGCAATTTGATATAAATCACTAGTTAATTATTGGTGCTGAAAACTGACGTATTAAATCGAAAGCGATACTTTAAATTTGGTTTACTAAATTATACTAAATAGAATCAGCCAGTATTTATTTATTTAGAAGGGACACTCCGATCGATGGATTTTCTCGCTTTAACCATCCATTATGAACCCACTAGCAACAACCCCCTAATCCTTTGGCAGGCAAATTGTGGCTTTAGAGCCGCATGGGCTCTCTATTACCGAAACTTTTTAAGGAAACGCAACCATATTGTTCGCATTAATGAACATTTATTAAGAAATTGAATACTAGTTATTTATTGTAATAATAGTTTACTAGATTTGGCTAGTTTACGAGGTATCTTTTTAAATTGTAATGTTCATATTTTGCTCTTTGACTAATAAGTTTGTCGACAACTGCCTTAATCTATAGAGGCTATTTGAGTTCAGTTTTTATCTAAAGTAAATACTCCAGGCTACCACAAATATCTACTATATTAGTCAAATGCTACCTTGGTAGCTTATGTCATAAATCGGGTGCTACCACATCAATGATGTTTGTCACATGGTGGCGCCTGACAGTGTTATTCGAATAAAATGTTCGCGCCATGCATCTTAACGAGATTCACTTAAGAGGTAGCTGATTCTCCATTTAAATCTATACACTAATATTAAAAAAGAAAAAAATGTCTATTTTTATACGTATTGAAATAGCCCATAAACTACTAGGCTGGTTGGAAAAAAAAACCATTGTTATTATTTTTTAATTTCAAGCGGACTAAGTTGCCAGTACCAACTAGTGTTGAATGAACTTAATTGTTTCGAGTTTTATTTATAAAATCACATCTTTTTATTTTACTGAACCAATAAAACTTGGTTTCTTCATACTGTCTATAAATCTGTAGTGTGGTTTAAATGTATTCCTTAACTAAATATATTACACAATAACGTATAGCTCCCCCTTAAATAAATCAATATTCTGGATTTGAACAAATTGTCTAGATCTGATAAGACCAAATATTTAAAGAAATTCTTTTTATTTTTATTTAATCATTTATTTCCAGTGATTTATTTATAACTATTCTTACAATAATAATAATGGAAATGTTATGCGACGAGACGATACGATAGCCATACATTCATAACCAGAAAGTGTTATGAATGTATGGCTACAAAGGAAGAGGAAGACCGAAGAAAGTATGGATGGATTGTGTAAAAGAGGATTTGCAAGAAAGGAGTGAATTCAGATATGACGGCTGATAGAGATGTATGGAAGAGCAGCACATACTGTGCCGACCCTCCATAAGGGATAAGGGTTGAAGGAGTTTATGAGACGAGAATAAGTTTGGACCTCTCTGATTTATGTCCAAAGAGAACAAAAAACCTCCTTTTTTCATACAACTAAAAACCAGGAAACGTATAAACGCCAGATATTGCATAGACAAACATATAAAGAATTTTGCTTTTGTTTCAGTAATTTAATCTATTTTAGGTATTTATAACGTCGATCTATATTTATAGTTAATTTTTAATGTTATCATAACTTCCTACAGTCGTATGGCGTATTTGATCTCATTCATCATACTAATATTATAAATGCGAAAGTTTAGATAGATGGATGTTTTCTTGAGTTTGTAGTCTAACCGGCTGAACAAATCTGGATGAACTTTGGACAGATGTAGAGCAGTCTGGAAGAACATAAAGACTACTTACTTAGTTTTTTAATACCACGCGGACGGAGTCGCGGGCGAAAGCTAGTAACTACATTTACGTAATAGAATTTTGAATAGCAAACAGATCCAATGTCAAGTAATTTAGCGGAAAAAACTAATGCTAGTTTTACGCCATCTATCGGTTTTAGAATATAACAACAACTAAATACGGCACAGACTGTTACTTCATTCGATATTTAAAAAAGAAACATTTTCCTTAATACTTTATTTATTTTTAATTATAAAAATTTCTATAAACATGTATATTGGCACTTAGTAACAAAATGGATTCAAAGTTACATACAAACACACTTTATTTCAAATTCTTATACAAAATCAGTCAAAATAACAAATTGGCTCAAACAACTCAAGCTTGATTGATAAAAAAACAAATTTCGTATCAATCTTGTCATTTGATAATTATAACAAAACTTTTGCATGTGTTAAAAATATAATCAAGAACTCAAAAAATTAACCATTCTCTGTCCTTAATGGAGTCATATAATTAAAAAATACTGTTTCTGTAGACATTTTATACAAATAAAAGTACATGTCATTTATTTTAGTTTAATATAACTTTTGTTTTTATTTCTGTCTTAATAGTATAACTTAGACTTGTCTCCCAAATTCCAATTAACATCCAAAAACCTCTGAACAATTATCTCTATACCAATCATTTAAACTTGGAAAAGGGGCAAAAAAATTATGAAAGTTAAATCTATTCTATAAGCTATGATTTTTGTGCCTATTTATTCTTTGTCAGACTTATGACACAGATTAAAATACTTAACAAATGGTATTAAAACCACATGAAACCAACATGCATTTATGTATGACCAAATGGAGATCTGTGGTCTCTGCTCTTTGAGATATTCTCCACTTTAGTGCTGACAGTGGCGTTAGATGGCGCTGTTGTGAATCCAAAGTAATAATATATAATTGAATGTTTGTAGTAAAAATGGCAAGTAAATGAAGCTTAAACTACTTACTCTAGGACTATTACATGTGTCAATAGTACATTTTTGTAGGAAGTACAGTCTAAAAATCCTAGTAGATGGCACTGGAAATGATTCTGAATGTGTCTTATATCCAATGGCGAATCCAAGGGGGGTCATGGGGGTCATGACCTGATTGCTGATTGGTCAAGAGCTTGACTAAAATTTACATATTTTGTCAAGCTCTTGACTTGACCACGACTATGTGACCCCCCTGGTGCCAAAGCTGGATCCGTCCTTGCTTATATCTTTATAATACTAAACTATACAAAATTATATATGATATGAATGGATGTTTGATCAAATGTCCTTTATGAATCTCAATGACATTTGTCAAATGTAGAACTGTTTTGGAGATCCGAAGGCTGCTTGTTGTTTTTTAATTATGCTCAGATGACATAGTGGGGATACACTTGTAGTAATATTAATATTTTGTTGACAATATTAAGCATACTACTTAACTCTTTGTCTTAAGACAGTTCTTTAGTCAGAATTTAATAATTGAGCTAAGCATTTTCTCATTTTCTCAGGAACTGGTACTCCAGAATGCGCTGGCTTTGGACGTCTATTCCGAGTTAGTTTCTTAGCACTTTTAGTGACACTTCCTGTCACATTTGCCTGTTTGTTTTCCTTTTTACAAGACTTTGGAGTGACAGGCTTCGGTACAGTTTTAGGTTTAGCCTCAGTCACCTCAGTTTTATTGGCTGAAAGTATAAGAATAAAATAATTATTGTAATTATATCACTATTAGAATTGCGATAGATACAAATCTGTTGCACAAATGTCCATAACTACTCAGAACACATGCAAGTGGAAGTAATACCACGTCTAGCGTAATGAGTGTGCGTGGGCCCAATTTAAGTACCCTTTCCCTTCTGACTTTTTCGTTAGAAGGTATGGATGGGCACCACACTGGTATTAAATAAGCAGTATTAAGAGCACTCGATAATCATTTATTTTTGATTGTTTAAGGGCAGCCAAAGTTGGTAGGATTTTGTCTTGTGAAACAATTTAAACATAGATTTACTTACGCTTAACTTCCTTCTTTTTGGCAATGTTTACTCCTTTACCCGGGTCTCTGTGAGTTTGCGTATCGCGGGGAGCCATTTTATATTCCACTTTTGTATTATATTGCGGTGCGTATTAAGAAATTAACTCACTATTATTCCACAAGAGAAACAGTCAATAATTAAGATTTGAATTATAACGACTTGCAAGCTTGCGAAGATTGTCAACAAAAATAGCGTTATGTCAATGTCAAAATTGTATTTTTTTTAAATAATTTTATCACCTAGTTATGAGATCTTTAAGCCAATATAAATTAGTTTAAAAAATCTACAAAAAATGACACCACTTTGAAACTAACTAATTTTGTGTATATTTATTTCTTAAACACTGAAGTTTACATCAAGTTTATTAAGCTGCTTTTGTAATCGTTAGAGCCAATAATAATGTGAAATGTGGAAGTTTCACGCTTTATTTCTTTTTTGTATAAACAAGTGAATTTTATTTATAATTCTATTATGAAAGGTCGGCATTAAATAAATCAAAAACTGATAATGTCTTTGCATTACAAATTAGCGATATTCTTAACCAATATGTAAATAAGGCTTTTTGCAGTAAATTGCGATAAGTAATGGCAACATTGTTATCTATTTTTCGCGACGTCCATCTTTAATCTTTGATGTGTTGTGTTGTTAACAAAATTGTTACAAAAATATTATTAAAATAGGTTTTAAGTGAAAATTTTGAGACATTTTTCATTTAATATTAACTCCAGAAATATTTTACCAATATATGAACAGCAGGCATCTTACCGTTTCTGACTTTGTCTGTTGTCACAGTTTCATTATCGTTTGTTCCACTAAAAGTTTCACTACAATTCGTTGCTATTGACCTAAGTGCTAATTGTCCAACCTTCAGATGTTTCGCTTAGCTAACCTATAGGCGGCAAAGTGTGTACGCACAGCTCGAGCTTTTGCAATAAACAATTGGTGATTGTTGTCAAAACAGATGATTTGTGAAAATGGATAGGTTGAACCAGTTGAGGAGCGAAGCGGGAGGTTCTGGAGACTCATCATTAGACACGTCTTCGGCCGCGAGTGAGGCTTATTTGACCGCGAACGAGAACTCCAAGTATTTTTCAGTGTTAGAAGATGAGGCAAACTTTACAATTACTAAGGATGTTAATTCCGATCAAGAAGTGGTCGCAGATAATTCAATGATATCGAGTTTATCGCCGATTCCTAAATCGAGTGATTTGGATAATTACAAGATCGGTAAACAAATAGAGGCGGCGAATATATTATCTGGTGGTATTAACATTTTCGAAGACAATGAAAATTCGTATGATGGCGATGAGTTAGTTATCGACGACAATGCTCCGGAGAGTGAAGAAAAAGTGAATTTGGATGATAAAATGATTGAGGATATTCCATTTGGTAAGGTTGAGGATAATTTGGCGGGAAATTTAGATGATGTGGAGCCAGTAATACCAAGTAAAGACACAGAAGTGGTTCTTCAGATTGATGGTAAAAATGTTGATGCTATTGACATAGGAAATGGCTTATATTTGTATAGAAAAGATGGTGAGGAGGAATTAGCGGCTGTTCAGATAGTCAATGAGGATCAGCAACAGTCAAGCTTCAAATTCCTTAAAGTGCGGTAAGATTTACCTTTTTTTTGAGATTTTTATTCTCTTAACCAATTTTTCCACACAGTTTTTATCTATCTGTTATATTGCTATCACTTGTACTTACCTCATTATATACTGGTTGCACATTTACCAAGTAATTTCAATTATTTTTTTATTTATTTCATTTTAAAATAGTGGTATGTTTAGATTCACATCTTATTACTGGAAAAAGGCAATATCCTATAAACATATTACTGATATTTAATATAAGTTTTGTTGTTTTTCAATTTCACACTTAATCCAGTCAGTAATTTGGGCTCTTGGATATGACTTCACCTTGTAATATATTCTTATTTGTTTTGTTACTTATTTAATCCATCAAATTATATAAAAAAATCAAAATAATTCAAGAGATGGTTTCATATTGTTCACAGATTGTTTGTAAAGGAATTGTTATCCCTGTGTTTATTTTTAGAAATTAAAATACATTGATTGGATCAAGTTAAACTCTTGTTTATTTATAGATTTCCTTATCTGTGTTTGTTATTAATACAGTATGCATATTTAACGACAAGTCACTTAATACATCTTAACAATGAACATAAAAACTAGATTTTCATAATTATTTAACTACAATGAAATAATTTTAACAAATTTTAATAATTAATTTTTCACTTAACTGTGTAATTAATCCATTGCCTTTAAAGTGACCTATTTCTTTATTACTGGAATAATAGAGCATTTATGTAGAATCAAATTTTTGTAATTTGATTTGGTGATCTATAAAAACCGAATTTTATAATTTTATTTCAGTGAGAACTCAGAAGGCAATCTGGAAGTCTATGAAGAAATTGAAATCGAAGTCCCTAAGGAAGTTGTAAGTTTTTGAGATAGCTAAATACTGCTTATTTAAAACAACTGAAAAACTAAAAATACCTGGTTATTGTTCATTGAATTATATCTTCAATCAATTTTGCCTTTTTTCAGCCTGTGAAGGAAGGAAAATCAACAGAGAATTTATCTCATATTCCAATAAAAGAGATCAACAAAGTAATCAGTGAACCAGATAAAGTTGAGGAAAAGAAAATCACTACCCCTCAAAAAGAAACACCTACAAATGAAATAAATGTAGACTTGAGTAAAGAATCTCAGTCAGATTCAAAATCGGAAGTAAATCTAAATGGAAAAATGATGAAGTTCAGTGAATCTCGAAAATCTCCTGTTGTTGGTAGTTTCACACCAATGACGTATCATTCCACACCAAATAAAGAAGGTATCCCATTAACAAAGACTATGGTTGATCAGCAACTACACCCAAGTAGACATTCAGATAATGTGAAAAAAACTATAGAAGTCCACACTGACAGCTCCAAGCAAAAGAATTTAGATGCACCTGTCAAAAATTTGAAAGAAATGGATGAAACAAATGAACCAATAAAACAAGATATGGAGTTAAAGCAAACTTCAGAAGAAAATAATGATAATGAAACACCTCCAGATAAGAGTGTGGTTGATAGTCAAGATACAACTCTTAGTAATAAGGGCAAAGAAGAGAATGTCAATAAAATTTCTTTGGAGGAAATCAATTCTGATGAAACCTTTGCACAAAAAGATGAACCAGTGTTTGAAGAAAAAATTATGGATACACCAAAGATTGAAGAAGAAATGGAGCAAATACCCAATGATACTAATAATCCAACAATTGTAAAGAATGATGTAATTATTGGAAACTGTGTCGAGGTTCAAAACATTTCTAAAGATGAAGTCGATTCTACACATGACTGTATAAAAAAATCTGTACAAGAATGTGAAGTTACGGAAGTCGATCAAACTATTGCGAACAAAAAAGTTGAAGAAATTCAAACAGAACAAACTCTTGAGAGTAATTTAGAAACCGTATTAGAAAAAGAAACAAAATGTTCCACTATTCCAAGTAGTAGTTCTCCTGAAATATCTTCGAAAGCTGTAAAAGACATTCCTATTAAAAAGTTAGAAGCTATAAACGACAGTGTGAAGGCAAATGATAAAGCACAATTAGAAAAAAATGAAACGAACAAAGTAACAGAAAATAAACCCCCTGAAAGTAAAAACATGATAACAAATGAAACAAAAACAGATAAAAATGAACAATCAATTTTCGATCTCCCAAAATCAAGCTCAAAACAACAGGAAATTAAGAACAATAAGAAAGAAGAGCAAGACAATAGTAAAATTATTATCAAAAAATCAGCAAAAGTAGAGACCATTGATCACAAGGCGCTTGAGTCTAATGTCACAGCTCCAAAAACTGTTGAATTGAAGGATAAAAATAAAACATTTGATAGTCTTAAGAAAGTACAACCTAATATAAAGACGGAATCTAAAAAAGAAATTCCAAAAATAGCCAAGCAAATAAGCACAAAAGCTGTAAATAATAATAATGCGGCAGTTCCATTTGGAAAGTGGACAGAAGCTAACAGGCAAGAGTTTTTGAATAAGATTAAAGAAACTAAAGTAACAACTAACAGTTCTAATACAAAGCAGTTAAAACAGCCGAATGATTTGAATAGAAGAGATGTTTTGCAGAAAATTGATAGTCAAAGACAACAAACTAATAACGCTATGGCCAAAGTACAAGAGCAACAAAAATTAAGTTCTAATAAAAACGAAACTGCTGTATTTGTTAAGTCAGCAGTCAAACCAGACACTAAACCAACTGTCAAAGACCGTCCAGCGTCAAAAATAAAACCTATGTCTAGTAAAAAAACTACGAAAGCTGATACTTCTGCAAATCATCAAACTGACTCCGCCAGTTTACCAATTTCTAATACAAATAAGAAAGAGTTATTACAAATAAGGGAAATCAACAATCAAGCTTTAATTGACAAAACTGTTGAGGATATTATAAACAGAGTCCCTCCAGCTAAAACTACAAATAGGGAACGAACACAAAATAATTCAAACATGGAAGGAGTTGAAAAACAGAAGGGTATGACATTATTCGGACCGTCATACCATGCTAACAATAATCAACCTGTTACTCTCGATGAAATTGAGACCAAAATGAACGAATTACATGGCATACCATTTGTGGAAAGACCGGCACATGAATTACCTCAGAAATTTGCCGTTGATAATATATTATCTGTAAAAAATGACAGTTCTAAAAGCAAACCCACCAATGAAACCAATTTGTTATCACAGTCAAAAGCTACTGTGCAACCAACAAATGTTATTGTGCACATTGATTCCGACGATGAAATAATAGAACATGAACCGATAACAGGAGATGTTATTCCGAAAAAGATAGCTTTGGAGGATGCACATAACTTAGAAATGCAGCTAACTCACAAAGCAAGTGATGAATCTAAAAAAGAAGTTATTATAACAGAAAAGGATTTTGACAAATTTTACAGAAGAAATTCTGTGAATTACGAAAATTGTCTTACCGTTACTTTAGATGGCAAAGAGTCACATAATGTTGTACAAACTGTAACGGTAGAGAAAGATATGGCTCCAAAGAAGTTAACAAGGAATGAAGTTCTATTGGCAGAGTCTAAGGCGAAGTCGACACATAAACAGCAAATGTTACAAGCGCGACACAGTAACTATCAAAGTAAAATACCTGTTTCTAATAAACATCAAACATCTGAGGAAGAATCTTACGGAAAGAACTATCAATCGAAGGTGCAAATTGCGTATCATACAGCATTAACTGCGAAACGTCAAAAAGAAAGCCCAATTACTATAATAGAAGAGAAACCAGTAAAAGTGGTGTTTATGGATTCTAGTGTTGACTTCGTACCGTCTCAACTAAACGTACAGGGTGAAAAGTTATCTCCGATCAAACAATTTACACCTGATTTAGAAACTTTTACTCACAGCACAACGGATTCTTTAGATTCAGATATTTTAGACAACTATGACAATAAAGCACAAGAAGAGACTAAAACTAAGAGTAGACATCAAAGAAAGCAGGTTTTAACCCCAGTAGAGGCGCCAGAAATGGAATTAATTCAATCCGACGATTTACTAATTGAAACATCGCCAAAGAAAAGACGTCGAATTGAAGATAGACTTGAAAAAAGTCCTAAAAACCATGTTCCGAAAAAATCATATCTTCTAGGCCGTACTAATGCTGACGACAAACTTAAAATGCCTGAGGTGGATAAAGTTGCTTTTAACGACATTAACAGTCACACTAATACGTACATTGCTCATCCAAATCCAATAAGTGCTATTGATAACTTAGTTAAGGCTGCTGAGTTATTGGAAAATCAAGCTGAAAACAGCAGCAGTTCCATAAAAACACAAGAATCTGACACGTCACTGCAAACGCCTCCTAAAAGAGGACGAGGACGTCCGAGAAAATATCCTCTTCCAGATACAGACTCGGATAAAAGTAAAGCTCCGAGTCCACAGAAGAAGCCAAGGCTGATAGATGCTAAAATACCCAAGCCAGCGAAAGTACCAAGTCCCGAGCAAACTGATGAAGATACAAGCGATGATGAAATGATCAAAGAAAATTGGACAATGGGTAAAATAAATGAAAATATCGTGTGTCCTATTTGTAATAAACTCTTCCGATCTGAAAATGTAGTTTTTAAACATGTTAAACATTGTACAGGTCCGTCGCCAAATCGTTCTGAATCCGACAAAAGAAGGTTCAGAGAATCTCAAGAATTCGAAACTAGATCACGCGCAAGTAAATCTGATGATATGGATTTGGAAGAAGAGGAAATAATAACTCCTAAGAAGAGGAAATCAAAAGAAAGCGTGACTAAAGCTTCCAATTCAGATGAAGATATAGAAGAAATGGTTAATAAAGAAAAACCTGCAAAACAACATGAATCAAGAAAATCGACAGCAAAAACCAAAAATGTTAGTAAACCTAATACTGACATAGTATGCGAAGTTTGTGGAAAGAGCTTCCGACATTTGTCGTACTTAGCTCATCATAAGTTGCAACATAAAAGTGACGATTCTAAGAAAAATGATAGCGAAGCGAACGTCAATAAGTCTGTTTTCAGTTGCGAAACTTGTAAAAAAGAATTTAGAAAGTTACATCATTTGGTGCAACATAGGATTATTCATAATCCTAGTTCCATGCCGACTAGAACACTTCGGAAGAGTTCATCTGAACAAGGCGACAATAAAATTGTTAAAGAGCAGACCGCTTTAAAACAGACCGAGGATCACAGTGCTGGCTTCCGCTGTGAGCCTTGTGACAAGTCGTTTAGAAAACTTCATCACCTCGTCGAGCACAGAGAAACACACGATGGGATAAATAGACAAAAAGCTATCGAAGTAGAAACTCCAAAGCCACAGCTACATCAATGCGATATGTGCGAGAAAACTTTTAAGAAAATTCAACAATTGAATGAACACAAGGAACAACATTTAGAAACGTGTTCTGAAAAATCTGATAAAAGCGTTAAAAGTTCATTCAGTTCCACTAAAGACATTATACACGAGTGTTCATTATGTTACATGGTGTTTCCTAACGAGCTATCTTTAAATAAACATACAGAAAAATGTTTAAGAAAAAAGAAACAGTCAATTGCAAGAGCCAAGCAAGCGGCTTTAAAAAAAGAATTAGAAGGAGAAACGCTAGATACAGAAAGTCAATCGGAGGAATGTCTTAATGAAAAAGATGATTCATTAATAATCGTGGAAGATAATGATGAAGAGAGTCTGGAGCCAATTAATATCACGCAAAATAAATTAGAAGACCATAAACACATAGGTGACAGTCTAGCTGGGAATTCTGAGGCTGATAAAAGTAAAAATGTTGAAATATTATCGAGAGAATGTAAAGACATAGATAATACTACGACTATAAAACAGGAGCCTATTAAAAAATCTATTGAACCTAATGAAAAGATTGTAGAGCCAACCGTAACTGAAATTGTTATTAACAAAGAAGATATCATTCCCCAACACATACCATCTAAGATACAAAATGACGAGAACCTTAAACCAAAGGATAATGATACGTTAGTTCATAAGAAAAAGAATATACATAAAGAAAAAGTTGTCCCTACAATAACTAAACGAAAAAAAAGTTTCAATACGCCCGTTCCTGCCATCGAGACTGTAAAGCCTTCGATAGAATCAAGTGACGAAGACGACGTACGATATATGCTCAACCCAGATTTCAAAGAGGAAACATCAATGGAAGAAAGAAGTTTTATGAAGATCAAAACTAAGAAGCGTAATTCTCTGCATTTTGAAAGACCTAGTTCGAGGGATTTGTTGAAAAGAAGGATTTCAATGCAACTGCCGCTTAAAACGACTCGCACGAAAAAGTCTATAGAACAAACTCCAGTCGCACCGACATCCTCTGACAAGTCAACTGCCAAAGCTAATGAGAAGCCAACAACTGTCACAGATTCCGACGACAGCGATACTAAATATGCTTTCCCCGAAACTGTTAAAGATACCCCCACTACTAGTGAAGTGAAGAAACCTCAGAAAAGGAAATCTATCGCGACCAAGCGGAAATTATTGAGCGGAGTTGTGAAGAGAAAATCTTTGGGTAAACCTACCAAAGTGAAGCACAAATTGATACCTGAACCAGTTAAACCTATTAGAAAACGTAAGTATGTCTTCAGACAGTTGTCTGGTTTAATATTTTTTTTATTAATACGTTAAGGTTTTAATGTATGTAATTGTACACAGGCACAACAGAAGTGGAGCACAGATGTGATTGTGGTAAGTTGTTCAGCAGCGCGGCGTTGCTGTCGCGTCACACCACGCTCGACCATACGCCGCCCCGCAGCCGCCGGCGCCGGTCGCCCCCGCCGGAACTCGATGCTACTGTCGCCAAGGTCACAAGAAAAACTACCCCGAAGAAAAACGTCAAAACCACTGTCCAAGCTAAAAAAATAGACGACACTAGAAAGTCTGGCGTCGCGACTAGAAAGTCGACTACAAACATCGATGGCAAACCGTCCCGCGACACGCGCAAGTCTGTGAAGGGCGCGCACAGGGGCGTGCCCGTCCCCGACGAGTTGAAGAAACACGTAGCCAAACAATTAAGGAACAAATAGTTTCTCGTTATAACGAATGCGGGGACATTTTCGATGTAATAATATAGTTTAAGGAGTAGGGGTCGCTAGTTGTTTAGATGAAATCGCGCGGACAAACTCACAATACGGTAACAGGAGGACCACTTGTATCATAGAAATATTTTTACAAACGCGTCGAGTTTATGGTGCCTACATGAAATTTCAAATATTTTTATTGTGAGTCGAGCGTTGGTGTTATCTACGTGTACATTGCGAATTAAGATTTATAATATCATAGTTATATTTTGTCAATTTGTTTTAGATTAAGTAAGATGTATGAGAGTTGATATTTATATTGTTGTTTTTAGGATTTTTTGAGTTCATTATCTACAGGTGCAGTGCAATTACAGTTGGAAACTGCAGTTTATGTTTACGGCTGTCCGAAATGTTTACTATTCGAATGGTTTCGAGACCGAGAGCTTAACTACGACAAAGGGATGATATTTCAATCAGATTGAAATACAATCTCTTAATACTTTAAAATCTTCATTCGAAAGTTTTCTGAAACTGGTTGCGTGATTCATGTAGTCAATAAGTATTAAATAATGCAAGTATATTATACTTAATAGAAAAGGCGGAGTTTTTAAAGAAATATATATTTTGATACTTGAATTGTAATGAGAATCGTGATAAATGATTACGAAGTGTGATCTCATACAAAAGTTGAATTTATCAAAATTTTTGCAACTTTGGACAGCTCGTAGACATTTTGTGACATTTTTAACCCGTGTGTTGGAGACGAGTCGAATTAGACATTTTAAATATTTTATGTCAAGGTCACACATTTTTTAAATCAAATTTAGAGACATATCTATGACTGTTTTACTGTAAGAAAAAAAAATCAAATATTTTACAATTAAATTAATGAATTTTCAAGAGCTTATAGACATTGTTTTAAATATGATTTTAATATGAATTTGTAATTTGCTGTAGTGAGTGTAAGAGCTTCCGTTTGTATTTGTTTTCCGCAGCGTTCCGTAGTATGATTGACCATCGTAAGGTAAGCGTTAGTTTTTATTGGACACCGAATATTTCCGATCGGTGTTTATAATGTTAAGAGCGACTCAATTTTGATGAAATTTATTATATTGGGAATATACAACAGACCAAAAATTGCTATTTTTAAAGCGATGATTTCGTCAGCTGTTTGTAAGGAGTAACGCTACATTTCACTGCAATCTCAATTAGTTAAAAATAGATCAATGGTGGATATTTAGTTTGACCGATGTACTTTTGAGTTTTTAGCCAACTAGGACCAAATCGTTTAATTCTGTTTGTAATGGTAATTATATAAAGTTGTTTTTAATTTTAATTGATGTTTATTGTACCGTCGTGACTAACACCGTAACATGTAAGTAATGTGTTAAGAGTAGACCGGTCTCGTGAGATTTATGTTCTAGGAGCATTTAACATGAAATTTTATATATTATGTAGGTAGAAGATTCATTATTTTTCATATGATGATGCAATTTTCATTAATGGGTTATAAATAAATTGTCTAAAATACAACTGTTTTTGATTAACTCCTTTGATACCCTGCCCACCCACTGTCGAAATACATAAAGTATACAAAAACGTCATCCCACTCACTTAAAAAAAAAATAGAAAAATCAATGTCTATGGACAGGTATTTCCGCAATTCGGAGTTCCGATTGCTTCTTAAATATTGAATATAAGGTGCCTATCAATACCGTAAATTGTTCATCAAAAGTCAAAGGAAACTATAGTTTCGATAATATTAAGTTTATTTTTTTAGTAATAAATATGTAAATACAGAGTAATCGATATTAATATCTAAAATTTAAGGTTAAACTTATCCTCGTTCACAAATAATGTCTACAATACTGGGCTCCATGAGTTGCGGGTCGACACATCTCAGCTGCGCGGAGGCCAACGCGTCTTCCAGTAGAGCATTCAATAGTCTTTCATCGTTCCCCATACACGACAGTCTCTGCTGTAAAAAATGCACGTCTACTTGCAACTGCTGCAAACCATGTCTACTGAATGTTCGCAACCTTACGCACTCAACCAAAGCTTTAAGTGCTACTTTCAACGCCCCGTTAGACAACGCACCACGATCGGCTCCCGCAGGACTGAACACTTCAATACGCTCAGAGAATATTCGATTAATAGGTGAAAAAGATGACGGTGCGCGTGACCAAATAGTACGCCGACTGGAGTCACTAGATGGCTTCAGACTAGTAGGAAAGAGTTGAGAAGCTGCGGAATCCGCACTCGCCAGCGTTTCCACTACCCTCCGGCAAACTGCTCTCGGTCCTCTAGGCTCTGGCGCCCTTAACCAATCCCTAGCAAGAACAGAAACTCGTAACATTTGCGCTGCTGTTTGTCCAATAAAAACAACTTCTGAATCCAAAGCCGATTGAGCTGCTGTTGATAAATTCACCATAACACTGTTTGTATCCTTGTTATCTATAGTCAGCCCTGGTGCAGCTTCTTCTAGAAGTTTCAATAGATGATTATGTAGAGTACTAACTCCATTTTCTTGTAATTCTAGACATAATTTAGCAAGAATAAGAAGTAGCTCAAAGGGTATGTTGTTGGATGTCTTCAAGCAAGCCATCTTCTTTACCATATCGGAAAGATTGATTAGAGTTTCTGAAATCACCGTCCAGCAACTGTTGGCCACAGCTTTAGCACACCAGGGCTTTAGGCCAAATGATAGATTATTTTGTAAAAATGCCATTAAATCTAACAGTGATGCTTGGATTTTTTGCATCAAATATACTTGCAGTGAATTCAAAATATCTTTTAAGTCTGCAGTTTCTGTACCTTTACTTGCTAATGTCTGTCTCACTCTCATCAGACTATCTTTGAATTGACTTTGAATCAATTGGTACTGCATTGTAGCTTTATGATTTATACATTGTATGACTACATCTAATGCTTTTTGTGATACCACATCACTGGAAATGATTTCAGACATCGCTTGCAGTTTCCTGAAGAATTTATCTAAGCCTCTTATTAATATTTCTGTTCCAACATTTTCTGGTCTTTTCACAACTTCCTCAAATAGATGAAACACTTGAGACATAACTTTTTCAGCAAATTCAGGCAGATTATTTGCTTCTTGATCTTGGAACATTTCATGATAACATGATATTACTATACCTAAATCAGCTAATAAGCTATTATTGCATTTTTCAACCCATTCCAGTATATCAGTGTGCTCTACCATAGCATTTAAATTTTTTAAATGTTGGTCAAGTCTACTCTCAGCACAACTAAGGAAGATGTCTTTTAAAGAAGAATCTGTTTCCTGTAACTGTCTTAATAATCCAACACTCTCTGCAAGTTCAGATGCTGATGTATCTGAATTAAGGAGTCTATCTCTAAGCGTCTTTTTTAAACCATAAATTATTTCAGAACACTCTGATTGGATACTCTGGAACGATGGCTGGTTACCATATTTTTGTAATACCCTTTGTGCATGTGCATAATCATGTACTGCATCAGCATACCTGTTTTCTATTATAGCTTTATTAAGCTGTGAAGGTAACAAAAATAGAAACTGTAGTTTATCAAGTAACTGCCTTGTTGAGCACAAACGATTTACATTTGTTCCACTCTCCTTTAGAGATTCCGATATTTGAGAACTAAATGTTGTTATTTTGTTAATATTGTTACTAAGTTTGTTCATTTCTTCTTGCATAATTTGAAAGTCTGTACGCATTTTACGTACGGTCTCTGTAGCAGAAATGAATTTGTTATAATTTTCATACACCAAAGTTTGCATTTCTGATTGTAGAAATTGACTCTGCTTGACGACCTCGGCTTCTTTATCCATAACTTGCTTTAATGTAGCAAGTTTCATTAAACATTCTAAATACATTTCAGAATTAAAATTACTACCATCTATGTCTAGCGGGTTTTCTGCATTTTCTTTGTTGGCTTCCGCCATTGCTAGAAGATTACACTTAACTCGAAGGTGGTAAAATTGCAAATTAGTACAAAAATAGATATTTGCGTTTTTAATTCAATTTATTGTGAAAATTATCGTATATATTTTGTTTTATTATGACACTGACGCGTCTGACAATTGACTATCAATTGACAGATGTCACTTTAATATTTTTACTGACACGAAGTCAAAAGCTTACGTAACATTCATCCAAAACGTCTAGAAACATCATTATCAACTTGCTATTCCCTACATGCATAGGCACTGTATGTTCGTTATACAAAACATCTAGAAACCTTTAGTGAAAAAAGATACAAGCATCGTGTATCTCAAAGCTTTATGCCGTTCTACTTGCAATCCCTTTTTATTATAAATAGCTATTCCTTTTTTCAATCCAATTTCATTAAAAAAATAATTTAGTTATAGTCAAATAAAACACTCAACATTTTTTTAACATAGTTTTATTCATTTTTATTTAATCCATCATCTAATTTTCAATCTACAATCCAATTAGAATTATTGAAAGTAAAGAATGTTTACATTGGAAATACAGGGAAAAGTTGCAAAAAATAATGAGATTTGTACATTATCAAAAATATGCAAATTATACTTATACTAAAATAATTACTGTAAATACTAAAATGTAAAATCTATATGCCATGCGTGTAAATATCATTCATAATAAAAAAAATCAGCTAAAAATAAATCGTATAAGAGTAACCAAGATGAAAGGGCGAAACTATTCACTTAATATAAAGCTTTATATATTAAAATTTGATCTTTTTACGTATTACACTTAAAATTAATTAAACACAGATAATACAAAATATAGGCGTCGCTAGTCGATGATCTAGGCTAGGTCTAGGGCATCTGATTTTATTATGGTCTTATTTAAAGTACAGTTGCATTTTTTAAAATTTTCGAACCTTTAGAAGGGGGCAGCCCCCTTTTCTGGCGACGCCTTTATTCAACCATAGACAATTTCACAGCACGAGAACTCAATGGTAATAATTGAAAAGCATAATTTTGCGTCTTAGTCACTCTGTCCTGAGTCGTAATGGGTCTAAGAAGGGGAGGTCTGAGGGCTGCTGACATTCCACTTGGTGGAAGACTTTCAGAGGGACTTCCTTGAGGCCGCGGGGCTGGTGGTGCTGGTGGTGCTGGTGGAGCTGGTGCCGGCGCTGGACCCTCACGGGCACTATCTGGTGCTGTCCCACGGCATCGGGAGACTGGTTCTCAGCAGCCTCCAGTGCGGTCTCCACGTCTATCAGGTCGTGGTTCCTGCACTGCAGTAGGGCTGCCAACTGTCAAATATATATCAATAAAGTTTTTTTTTTATGTTTTCTTTTTGGTTGTACTCTGATGGTATTTTTGCGGTTGTTAAAGATGTAAACTAGTCTTTAGTGGCCCATTAACTGCGACTACTAACTTAGAAGGTTTTTTTAATTCAATAAAACAAAATTTCAGACATACATACATTTTAACATTTTGTGTATGCAGCAGTACAAAATCAAAAATATGCAGTTTTATTTACTCGCGTAAGAAATTAAATACTACGAAAAATGATCATAAAAATACTACATAAAAATATGAATGAAGCACCATAGAATTGATGTAATAATCGCAGTCAAAATTATTCGCTGCTACATCTAAGATCGAATTAAACATTTCTTTAAAAAATTGAACTTTGATATATAAATGTTCGTCACCCCTGCACTAGAGGCTCCATATCACTGTCATCCCCCAAGGAAAGAGGATATCTTTTGAAGAAATCCCCCGATACCAATAAAAAGTAAACGGATTATTCCCAACCGTCACCCCGCTCTGTCCCCACGTAGAGACAGATGAGAATAAAAGTTTCATCCGTCCCACCTTTTGCGACGAGGAGACGATTAGAACTTATTTTATTCCATATCGGTTTCATCTGTCACCTTATTGGTGATAGTGAGACTAAAAGGTGGGACAGATGAAACTTTTTATTGTGACGTGGGGAGAGAGCGGGGTGTCGGTTGGGAATATTCCGTGCAGACCTGCAGTATCTGTCGGAGCGGCAGCTGCGCGGCGGGCGGCGCGCGCGGCAGCGCGGCGGCCAGCGCGGCGGCGGCGGGCGGCAGGCGCGCGCGCACCAGCGCCAGCGCCGCCAGCGACCGCGCCACGTCCCCGCCCTCCGCCACGCCCTCCAGCGCCCCCTCCGACCCGGAGGACCCCGACCCCGACCACTCCGCCGTCCGCGTGCGCTCCCACGACGAACTACACCACCGCCGCCACATACCACATTGCAGTCCCGAAGTAACCCACATTCAATTATAAAAATGACTGTTACGCATTAATAACGTAGCTTGTTTTTAAATCGGCCCAGGAGTTTTTGAGTTATTTTCATCACCAGCTCACTATACGTCCCCACCGAGGGGCTCGGACCCTACCCTAAAGTTAGGGTGACTAGGCCATAGTCAACCACGCTGGCCAAGTGCGGGTTGGTTGACTTCACACATATCTTTGAATTTCTTCACCAATATGTGCAGGTTGCATCACGATGTTTTCCTTCACCGTAAGAACGTCGGGTAAATTATGTACATATGAAAATTCGAAAAAATCGAAAATCACATTGGTACATGGCGGCGGGATTCGAACCCAAGACCTGTAGATTACAAGTCAAGTGCTCAAGCCACTGAGCCACCGACGCTCTATTATTATACCGAGTTATTTTAATATATACAAAATTACAAATCTTTCCACTTTATAATATTAGGACTAGATTTTGCTTATTTTCAGTTTAACTTCACACTTAACTAAGCTCCAAGAACCTTATGGTTCGGGGTTCGGACTACCGATATTGCGGTCGAGGGTTCCAATCCTGCCATTAGACGTCGTGAGCCATATCCTAGCACAAGCCTAGAGATTAGTTGGCATGTTTTAGGGAAATATTAGTAAATTAACATAAAAACACAGTGTTTATTTGTAAGATTGTGAAAGTTTAAAGATGAGCAACAAACTGCGGTACTTACCCGTACGTGTAGGACGTAGGCGGGGTGGGTGGTGTGGGTGGTGTGGGAGGTGTGGAGGGTGGGGAGGGTGTGGGGGGCGTGTGGGGGCGCGGCGCGTGCGGGGTGCGCAGATGCAGCGCGAGCGCGCACACGTAGGCGGCGGGCGCGCGCGCGGGCCGCATCAGCGCGGACAGCGCCGCGCCGCTCTCCGATACCATCACTGGAGAGTGTTACAACTAATTCAAACCGAAACTCGTTATTCCGTTGAAACCGAAATCGAACTTCAGATCCTGCTCTTCCAACTTCCGAATGCACATTCAAAAATATGTACAGCAGGGTTAGACAGTAAAAAACATGAACGAAACGAAAGCGATTATCGTTCGATTGTGATTGGTTGAGACACTGACGTCTGACGTCACGCGTTAAAATCTTAGACAGTGACACGCACGAAGGTCGCTTTCGTCTTTCGTCTGTCGTTTTTCGACTATTTCCTTTAAAATTCCTAGACAGTAACACGAAATGACAAACATAATCGTTTTTAAAGCGACACGATCGTTCGTTTTTGAGGCGATTCTCAAAGGTGTCTCGTTTTGCTTCGAGATCAACTGAATCAACTTTAGTTAAATGTCTTTAATTATTATTAAATATTAATTTAATCTTCTAAGGTGAAAAATCTTTAAATGGTATATAAATATAACCTTAGACCCTTTAGATGATAATGAAAAATAAACTTTATTTACGATCATTTTTATTTCAAAATTAACATAAAAAACATAAATTACACAAGTTACAAATAAAAACTATGTAAATGTTAGATGTTTTTGCATTTGAGACTGCTTATCAAAGCTACATTCTTTTCTCAGTCAACCCAAGGTGTCGCCCTCCGTGGGACTCGCGCCGTTACTTCTTTATTATAACCAGATTGGTAGAATGAATCGCCAGCAGAAAAAAAGGAAGTAATGTCAATGAGAAAATTTTGTTATGGCGTCTTGAAGAAGTTTGAGGAATGCTTGTTGGATATTTATTGTATCCCTATCAGTCCGGGCTCTGACAGCTTCCCTTGCGTGAAGATTGGTTTCACGCAAGGTTTCCAGCTCAAGCCTTTTTATATCTAATGCATGCTGCCTCCTGTCACGGTCCTCCTCCAACTTCAACCGCTGTAATTCCGCAGCAACAAACTCTTTTGCCACTCGATCATACGGCGTCTCAATAGAGGAGGTCCGTCGCGTTGATTTTAAAACGCGTCTTCGTCTGTTCTGCGATGCATCTGTCAATAAATTATGTGTTTAAAGCTTGGTGGAAAAGCTAGGAACAGGAAAGATACAATCTAGAACTGTAGTGTTTCAATTCATATGTATGTTAGTATTTACCTTGACTGTGACCAAAATCAGATGTAGGATCAATTGCTGCTGAAGAGGAGGCAGCAGAGACATCACGGCGATTTGTTCGCTGCTCGCCATTTTACTCATTTTTATTAAGTTTTAAACTCGCAACACACTTGACTAACTTTTGAATCTCAACTGTATTTTTGACGTGAACATTTTACATTTTTATACGTCAAATTCAGATGACACAACAGTCATCGTCAGCAGAGACAATAATTAGTTTTTTTTGACGATTCACCTTCGTCTGCACGAAAGTGACTATCGTCTGTTACTGTCTAGCTTTCTCGGGAAAACGAGAGACGCTATCGCTTAGACGAAACGATGGAACGTTTCGTTTTTGGTTTTTTACTGTCTAACCCCGCAGTTTAGTGTGTTTTAACCGTACTTTTTATATCAATAGATGAAAATTTCGATTAAATTTGACTAGTGAAAACGCACGATTGTTCATGAAGACTCCAGTTTTTGAAGACGAAAGTTTCGGCTATAATTTGACAGAAACCGAAACTAAGATCGCTAAATACATTTAAGAATTGCATAAATTAAATTATTTAGTATCTCTTAGAGCGCGAAAATAACAAAAAACTTAATTAGTAGGCTATGTGTCCAGACAGTATAACATTTGTGACAAATTTCATTGACATGAAATTGAAATGACATACTGGTTATACATACAGATATCCATCTATTCATCTAATCGCTATCTTAAACCACTAATAACACTTAATAATTAGAAATACGGATTTCCGCTTACACAGTCAAGGGTTCGAATTCTATTCGACTATTGTCGTAAACCTAGAACACAATCCTAGAGTTGAATTGGAATGGTACAACAAATATAAGTAAATTAACAAGAAAACATCGCAAAAAACATAAGTAACTATGAGATAAACTCCAATAAAGTGTCAAGATATGGTTATATTTACGGGACTTCTTCATAGCGAGCAGCAGGGCCAGCACGAGGAAGTGCAGGTGGCGCAGCGCGGGGCCCTCCGCGAACACGAAGCCCCACAGGCGCGGCGTGTCGCGGCGCGGGAACTCGCGCCCGAACAGCAGCCGCAGCCAGCGACTGCCACATGTTTAGTAACGTAACGATTTAATATCAAAACAAAACTGTGCTTTTACATTATAAGGTAACCTGAATCCGCCAAAATGGCGAAGTGACCGCTGCCCATAGACTTGCATAATAGCGGATACATTGCTCACCCTTAATCGACTGAGAAGGAAATGAAAAAAACATGAGGATATTTCCCCTTACTTTACGCGTCCTCCATCATAAAATCCACGTTCCCTTCTCATCCTTTTCTTACAAGAAAAATGGTGGGAAAGAAAAGTGACTAAAGTTGGACCTCCGACACCGCACTATCTCAGTTATAACGCCCGGTAAACATCTTGAACAACACCATAGTTGCGTAGAAGTCGATTTTTGGGTGTTTTTGGCGGGGCAAGGGGGGATGCGCGCGCGCGCTCTTGCTATAGGTTAATCAGTCGACCTTTGCGTCCCGCTTCTTTCCCCATGTTCCGTTTACCCCCGAATACACTTATCTCCAATTTTGTTGGCCCAATTTCGCTGTTACTTATTTTCGGTAATAATTGTTTATAATTTTTTTTCTATTGTTTTTATTGAGTCTCATTTGTTTATTATTGTTAAGTTTTATTTGATTGTTATTGTTTTGACTTTTTGTGTTGAGTATGCCACGAAAAAGTACTTTGTTCTAAAAAGACAAGCCAAGAAAATAGTATATGATGTATATTGTTTCATGAAACAAGAATCATCTAAAGAAATTGCACAAGCTGTTAATGCATGTCTGTCATGTTCTTAAAATTTAAAATTGAATTTTTTCATTCCTAATTATTACTAATACTCAAAATAGGTCAATTATTTTGTCTAAAAGTGTACGTGCGCGAAACTTCCCCCACTTCGCCGCTTTTTGTTCAAGTTTGCCGGCCGTTATAATAGCTTTCGCCCGCGACTCATACGCCCGTGAATACCCCATGAGGTCTTCCAGACTACACTCTACATCTATGACAAATATCATCAAGATCCGTTCCGCAGTTTAGTAACTATTACAAACATCCATCCACATAAACATTTGCATTTATAATATTAGCAAGAAGTAAGATTTGTTTGTTAATAAAAACTCAGAAAATAAAAGAACTTTTAGATTTTTCAGATTTAGCCCATTGACTGGGTTCAAACGGTCCAATGGTAAAATAAGTCCTACAGGACCGATCGTCTCAACGGGAAACATATTAACACAATCGGTACCAATAACTCGCCTCGCCAGTTTTTTTATGTAAAAACAGCAACAGTTAAAAAGTTAAACAGCGCGTTGTATATTTAAATTCTGATATTATTATAAATATTTCCTATATCTCTGTACTTTAATATTATCATACTAATATTATAAATGTGAAAGTTTAGATGGATGGATGGATGGATGGATGGATAGATGGATGGATGGATGGATGGATGGATGGATGGATGGATGGATGGATGTTTTAACAGTGGTAGAGCCCGCTTTAACATCTTCGCACGAATGGGCCGGCTCGCCCGG